CTCATTTCTTGGGGGACAGTATCAGGAAGGTGAATGGATCAGTAGATAGGAAACAGAATGTCTGTACTCATGGAACCATTCACTATGGGTAAGATAACAATGGACAAAATAAGACTGGAACATAAGATTAAGGTAAAAAGTAAATTGTGTATGGACAGTGTAGCCAGATCATGCTGTCCAGGGATTGTTTCTATGAAGTAACCAAGCCAATCGCAAAATGTATAATGCAATGTAAAGTAAATGCTAATGTAATGTGACATTAAAGGAAGAGATTTGCTGTGCAAATATGAATGTGTTACTTCTGGGCAGCAGAAAAATGCCTCCCTGCAGAATCCCTTTGCTTTGTTGCAGAAAATGGTTTCTGAAGGGAAGTAAAGACAAGCTGCACCAGTCATGGTGCACTCACTGCTACCCCATCTGTTCAGGCAGCCAGGGGAAAGAGGAAAATCACTAAGGTGAGGGAAATCTGGTCTCCCACAACCCAACTGCCTACCCCCAAACTTACAAGGAACAGGGTTAAAATATATAAGGGAGGAGCAGCTGCTTCCTCTGATTGTCTTTATGAATTTGCCCAGCTCTACTTTTGAGCCCCAAGCCACCAGGCCACACCCCTCCAGAGGTCACAGTGATTTCTTGCTCCTTCAATATTCTGCCTCACTTCTACCTCCCATCCCATCCGAGATGGAATGGCTGAGTTGGCATTCTCCCTTTTCTAACCCCCACCAGTAGGGCATAGATTTATCCAAGGCCTGATCTACACAAGAGAGGAAAGTTGACTTAAGATACACAATTACATAGCTGGAGTCAATGCATCTTAAATTGTGTTTTTGGGAAGTCCACACAGCGAGAGGTCAATGGGAGAAAACATTCTCATAGACTTCCCTTTAATTCTCGTGAGGAGCAGGACTACCAGTGCTGACAGGGGCACTCTCTCAGTTCAAATTAGTGGGTCTTCGCTGTACCCACTAATTTGAATGCTAGAAGATCTACCTCTGGAGGGTTGATCTTCTCCATAATGTAGACAAGCTCCAACAGTGGTGAAGGGCCTTGCTTTACTCTGTCTGTATTCTGACATGGCTGCTGTGTCAGGCCAGCTTTCCCAGCAGCCTTTGCCCACCATCTCTCAGAACATTCAAACATGGCACTAATGAACTTAAGCAATAGTCCCAAAGGAAATAAAGGAAATATAAAATAAATGAGTTTTTCACCCTTCCCAAGCTACCTTGCTCTTCATAGAGTACTGACTCTTTGTACGTTCTTCCTGGGGGCCTTGCTCTTAACCAAGTCATTGATCCTTTGGGCTTCCTCAAAGTTCTTCCCCCAATTTGGTTCTCTATAGGCTGGGAATAAGAGACCAGCCTAACTATGGTTTAGCTCCCTCTACAGCCTGCCACAGACATCTCCTTTTTTCCTAGTGACTTTTTTTTCATGGCAAGTCATAAAAAAAAACACCACACACACACACACACACACACACACCACCTTCTTTCTCTCGCTCTCTCACTTCCCCACCATTAGGGGTTCGTCTATCTTTCTCCTACTCTCATCTCACAGAGTTAGAGCCCCCCAGGTGGCAGGTGATTTCTCCTCACTCTGTGTTTCTTATGTGCCAACTGCCTTGGTGCTCTAACGCTGAAGAACACATAGAAAAAATAAGTGGAGGGTGCTGAGTACCCACTGGTAGCTCCATTATCAGCACCTCCACCTCCCCCCAGCAACTGCCCACCGGGAACCCCTACAATCAACATTTCCCCCCTGCCACTGCCTCCCACCCATCCTGACTCAGCTATTCTGCAGCATTCAGAGGGTGCTGAGGGGGTAGGGAGGAGGAGCAAGGGAAGACGCACTCATAGGCAGAGGTAGAGTGGGGGGGGAAGAGGCAGGCTTTGGGTGGAAAGAGGTAGGTTTGGTGGGGCCTTTGGGGGAAGGGGTAGAGTGGGGGTGTGGCCTAGAGCAGAGCTGGGGGGAGTACCCTCAGGCTATGTCTACACTGCAGGTTTCTTGGGCAAGAACAGCTGCTCTTGCGTAAAAATTTGGAGCATCTACACTGCATGTGTGTTCTTGTGCAAATACATTTACAGTAAAGTGTCAGAACAGAGGGCTTCTTGTGCAAGAGTTATTCTTCTCCCCACGAGGAATAAGCCCTCCTGTGCAAGAGCTCTTGCGGAAGAAGGCAGTGTGGATGGGCAAAAGGGGTTTCTTGTGCAAGAAACCCTATGGCTAAAATGGCCATCAGAGCTTTCTTGCTCAAGAGAGCATCCACACTGCCATCGGATTTTTTTTTAAATCCAACAATAGAGTTTTAAACAAAAATTCCACCTCACTAAGACTTTTGAAAGGTGGTGGGTTTGTTCCACATCATCGCAAAGAAATCTCAAAACCTCAGAAGTCTGAATGAAACAAAATGGACATTCTCAGGAGAGCTTGATTAGATATTCTTTCCCATTCAGCCATCTAAAAAGGGGGAGAGAGCTAGTGAAGCAAGGCCTCCATATCCCCACAGTCTGCTCATATGCCAAATAATGCAGCCTTTCCAGGTCATGAAACGCCGCTTCAGAGATACCCCCTTTTCTTTGTGATTTAGCCAAAAGATACTTTAACAGCTCCCAGAGGGGTGAGGAATAAGGCGGACCTGCCTACTTTACAGCTTTTAGCTGGATTTCAGCTAGTTTATCAAATGTTCCAGACTGCTCCTCACTTCCTCTGCCCTTCTGCATGTCCTCCAATGCTTCAGTGGGTTTCCTGCATAGGATACAATACTGCCAACTTTCACAATCTTCTCATGCATCTTATGACAGATCTCTTATTTAAAGCCAGGTCTCTCTTTTAGGCAACTGATAGGAGCTCAGATTTCATTATTAGAAAAAAGAAAAAAAGCGCCCAAGTCTCCCCATCCCACCATCAATGCCTAGCAACAATATTGCTGTTAGGAAAGGAAGAGCAGCCCTAGCCTGCAGGGATTGTGGGGAATAAAGGAACAACAGTGAGGGACATCACATGAATTCCCCACATTTCTGGGGAGTAAAAAAAAAAGAATTAGAGGGGCAGAGATGTGTCATCATCCTCCCCCTGAGGAGTGCTGGGGGTGGCATGGGAAGGAGAAGAAAGAAATGAAATGGCAGAGAGAAAGGATTCTACCATGCCACTTTCTCAAAAGCTCCTCACAGAGATGGTGTTTGTGAAGAAAAGGAATGTTTTTGCAATACATTTTTCACTAGATTATGAAAAAAAAAATCAGATAGGGACACTCAGTGCAACACCAATTGAACATTTTTAAATTAGATTTTATATATGCTGGAACATTAGCAACCATTTGCCACAGAGAAATAAGGGGAGGGGAAGGACAAATAACATTGTGAAAAAATCTCAAGCTTTTCAATGTAAAAGTGTAGGTGGGGAGACACGAAGAGGAATGATCAATAAGATTGGGTTGAAGAAAAGAAAGAAATGTATAAGTAGCAGGGGATACCAAAAACCCTCAGAAGGGAAGAAGTGAAAGACAGATAGGAAACACGCACATTCAAGTATAATACATGTTAGCTTGCATTCAGGGTTGAGGCTCTGAGTTTATTTTGACTGCCCATCGAGTTAATTGCCACTATTAAACTGACAGCTTAAAGAAACTCTCCCCTTATGACTGGAGTGTCAGAAAAAGACTCAGTCCTCCTAGTACATAAGGGATTTCAGTTCTTACTGTATGTGAAGGACAGAAAAGATAGCAGGTAGGAAAATAAAATTTGCAACTTGGAGCAAAATAATTATTTCACATTGACAGAAAAGCATATTATTTACTTTGATGAATTTAAAGGGATATTTTTTCATTTTCAAGAAGCGTTACCAGACTGTAAGTGATCTTCTCAAAGTAAATTGTAAACAACAACTACATTGACGATAACCGGAAGACACTGAGTCAATCATGACATTTTTCCACTCTTATTTTGGAATTGCTTGGCATACACAAAGTCAGTTTTGATCACCAGAACCTCTTGAACTTATATCAGCTTAATTTTCATACAGAGACTTATTTTACTGTAGCATTAAAACACTCCAGAAAGCGAATTTCACAGTGTTTATTGCAGTAATCAAGTACATTATGAATCAGGAGGACAAAGGGTTGAATGATTTCACTCACCAGAAAGTGAGGTATAAACCTTCTGAGCTGCACTACATGGCGTACTTTGATACAGTAATTGCAAATAGGAATTATAAAAATAGAGAAAAAAAATCACAGCCCCATCATTTCCTAAGGATTAAAGATAAACATCAACACACAAGTGTAAACATGGATGCATTTAAGTAAACTGTTTAGCATGAACACCAATTAGTGCAAATAAAAATCTCCTTTTTCCTGTTACTTGGAATATTAAAAGCAATCCTATCAATGCTTACTTTGATTTCATCATACCTAAAAGCAACAATGCCATTTAAACCTGAAAACTATCTTAATAGCCTAATTTAAAGAAAAACTACTCCCATCTTTATATTCTGATTTTCCAATTTTTAGAAAGTGTTTATATTATAAGAGATACTATGATAATATAATAAAGCAAATCATAAACCGTTCCTTTCTTTTTTGGTGCATATCCTAGGGGAAGGATGCCTAATAGAAGTTTCCTAATTGTAGTGCATCATTTTCTGTAATATTAACTGCTTTTCAACTCTAGAGGGGGCTCTAGCCACACACTTCCAGTACACCACCAGCACCTCCTCTCCTCCAACTCAAAGGCTAGAGGATTTATTAACTTTCTAATCCATTTCTCCTTTGGGTTTCAAGTTGTACTCCTAGGCAAAAAAACCAAAAATGTGCATAGCTCCCAAACGGAGTGAAAGCACTTCGTCTCAGCTGGGTCACTTCCTTATGGTTCCTCAAGTTTGTACATTATATCTCCTAAAGAGCTTTCTCCCCACCCCTTCCCTTACATCCCTCCTAATGAGGTGTCACTTGAAGCCTCTTTAGTTTGGTACACAAAAGCTAAACACTTCTCCCCAAGATCCCTTACCTTATGATGACAAACATCACAAGAGAGTTGCCCACCAAGCCAACCACAAAGACCACAGAGTAAACAGCAGTGATGATAATAGGGATAGCTGGGGAAATGTTGGTGTGGTTCTGCTGCAAGTCTTCAAAGCCACCACTGGCATTGTTGCCATACTCGGCCCAGCCCAGGAGCCAGCTGCTGCTGCTGGGGAGGAGGCAGGGGCCTGGAGAGCAGGTGGAGCCTGGCTCTTCACGGAAAATGTGCACAGGGGGCTCCATGGGGTTCACTGGGACCACACACAGGGAGGCCAGAAATATGCTAGAAAAAGGAAAGAGAGAGTGAATGAACCACAATGTGCAAACTTTCCATTCAAACAGACCTGTGTTTCTAAATCAGTGGGGAGGGGAGTGCTTTAATAAGCATATTTAGATAAATACCATTTAATGAAACAACATTGTAACATTGCTTAATTGTTAAACGTAACAGGTAAGTGCTGGTAAATGCTGCCCATGAGATACGTGGCTGAAGTTTTCTCCAGGTAACAGAGATTACAGGTTGGGAACAAAACAGAAGAGATACGATAACAGTTTAGAAACAGCTCAATTCCACACCTCTGGTTTCCCCCTCTCGCCACATTTTTAAAGTCAAACAGTACCCTAATCTCTAGGTTCTCTTTCTGCCTTGACTACAATGAAGAGGGGAGGGGAGTGGAATCCACCCCTTTCACCACAATTGCGTGCCATTCTTCCCTCAGCGTTTACCACATTCAGATGTGACACCTTTCAATAAGAGAAACAAAATTTCAAAAATTACCTCTTTCAGTCCTGAAAAAGGATCAGTCTTCACACAAATGCTTTTAAGAGTAGTGTAGAAGCATCCTTTTGGCTCTTGGAGGTGTCACTGATCTCTTATGGCTTTTGAACCTGGAACATCTATGCCTCTGGAGAGCTGAAAACGTGCTAGAGATGAAGCTGAATCCCAGTCATTAGCTCCGAGGTGGCGGCAGCTGCTGCTGCTACAACTCCCAGCACTTCCCCCTTTTACACTCACACTATCTCTGTCTCACTCTCACTCTGCAAGGTCTCCAGCAGCATGCTGCACTAACTCACACATTCTCCTCCACCTCAGGCTCCACAGCTCAAAAGCTCACATGACTTTTGTCTAAACACCGACAGGCAGACAAATTGAAAGGAAAGACAGACAGACAGTAAGTTCTACTCTACCTGACTGCATCATTTCCATTCCCATACACTTTTCCAAGTTGTATTTCTCCCTTTCCTCCTCCTCCTGCGTCCCCCCACCCTGCAATTTAAAAGTCTTCAGGCAATGACACTTGCTCTCTTATTGAATATTCCAAATTTTGCAAACTAGAAGACATTGGACAGAACAGAAATGTCAGGCAACCCCCTTTTGGCTCCCCTCTTCCCCCTTTCCCCTTGAAACACAGGTCTGTTTGAATGGAAGGCATGCACATTGCATTTTGTAATATATTTTGAGAGAACAGAATGTAGATGCATGAAACTTGATCCAAACATGTCCTCACAGGCAGGTTATGTAGTATTTCATTATATCTCTAACAAGAAGTCAGTTAGGTGGAGTCTAGGGGAAGTTAGAAGAAGGAGGTCTGCAGTGAAGCAGAGAGAGAAGATTTAGATAGAATACCCTTGCTCTTATTCTCATAAACTTCCTTGTACAGTGTTAAAAGAAAGCATCATTTTTGTGATTTTGCCATTTTTACATGACACCATAATATTTTGTTCCATCAGAAATTAAACCCCCAGGAAACTAATGAAGGTCTACAAGGACTTCACCATACACTATATTCAAACCAGCAGCAGATGGGTGTAAGAGTATAGAACCCAAATCCCTAAATGATTGAATATCAGGTGAAAATATTTAGTTATGCAGGTATTTGGATCTGGAACATCATCTGGGATGTTATTTAATTAATCTGATCCCAGATGGAGGAGAAGAGATGCTCTAATGTTTTAAGAATGTTATTCAGGTAATTGAATAGTTGACTAACCCCATGAATTCTTAGCAGTGAGTTGACTATTCTATAGCCAGTGCAACCCGGCCACAGCCCCCTGCTATTCCTCACTGATGCCTCTGTCTCAGAGGCAGCAGTGCAGGGTGCCAGGTGGGAGCCAGTACACGAGGGGAGCCAGTTTAAAAAAAAAACAGCTCCCCTCACGGACCAGCTGCCTGTCACCCTGCGCTGCTGCCTCCGATAAAGAGGTAGCAGCGCAGGGTGGCAGCAGTCCCTCTCTGCAGGGGGGGTCCAAACTCTGCGTGGATAGAGGCTTCTAGACGGGGAGGGGCAAGGGAGGCTGCCCTGAAGCAAGCAGCCTCTGTCTGCAGTGGCCCACGCTGGCTACAGACGGAGGCTTCTCCAGCACCAGCCCCTGGTCTGAAGGCAGCACCAGCACTGTGGACAGAGGTTGCTTCGCTGTAGCAGCCCCTGTCCGGGGGGGACGGGACAGGGCAGGATGTCACTCCTTTCCCCCTCCCCCAGGCTTATCGGTTGATCAACTACTTGTTCGCATCCCTGCTATGTTTCCCTCTAAATGCCAAATTGTGAGTAAAGCAGTAGCTCCTCTAGGCCCATGCTCTGCAGTAGAGAGAGGAAACAGATTAGCTATCTTAGATCAATGGGCTAAGTAGGCCTCCCCCCAAGAAGACTGATAAGTGTGGATGGCAGGAGACAAATCGCTTGATCATTGTCTTCGGTCCACCGTCTCTGGGGCACCTGGTGCTGGCCACTGTCGGCAGACAGGATACTGGGCTAGATGGACCTTTGGTCTGACCCAGTACAGCCGTTCTTATGTTCTTATGTGCATTTTGGTGGCATTCAACAGAGCTGCGAGTGTTCCTCTTGCTGCCTTTTGTAATGCAGAGACTTTGCTCCCTGTTCTGATTTCTGCTGAAGAGTTACGAGTGACTAACTAAATCTTGAAAACCAAATCACAATGCATGATGTTTTGCCAAAACCAAACCATGTGTCAGAGCATGCTTCTCTGGTCCCCAATACATAGACATAGCTATAGCATTTCAAATAACTTTGAAACTACCACCAGCATAACAGATGAAAGACAAAAATGTCCCTTAGTGAGTCATACACATTTTAAATATGTAGTATTGACCTATGGGCTGCCACGAAAGGAGCTGCTCCCCACTGCCTCTCTTCTTCCCCCATATGGAAGTCAAACCTGGATTAACTAATAGGTACTTCCACAGATGCCGTAAGGATGACACCTGATGACAAGGAGAAAAAAAATTGCGTAGCACTGCTCAAATTTGGCCTGGCTGTCCCTCTGATATGATAGAGGGACAGCTGTGCTAAACTTGAGTGGTGTGGGAGTTGTGTGAATGCAGGGCAGTTGATGGGAGTGAGCGGAACCGGGCCACTAGGACTGGGAATAAGTGTCCTAGTCTGTGAATGGGAGCAAAGCACTAAATAGCCAGGGGGATCCTGGAGGAAGCCAATAAGCTACTGGTGAATTGTTGGTGGGGATAAATGGGCTGTTGGGAGGCAAGCAAGAGCTCCTGTGGTCAGAGGTATGAGTTGGTGCTACGGCAGCACTAGGTGTGAGGGAGCAGTAGAGTGAGATGTTAGAGGTTCTGACTGGTGGAACGGAGGTGTTGGGGACTCCAATGAGTGTGATGCGTGTCAGGACTTCTGGGATGTGTGTGAGAGATGTTGGGGTCATTTGTGAGGTGGAAGAGGCATTTAGGGGTGAGGAGTGGGGATTTCTGGGCTCTGTGTTGGGTGGAGTATGTATGGAGCGGGGAAGCTTGTGCAGTCTAGTTTACAGCAGGTGGGGACTCCCCAGTTTCCACAGTGCACAGGCACCAGACACTCTTTAAGCTGGACCTGACAGAAGTAGAGTGACCAGAGAGCAAGTGTGGAAAAAATCATGCTGGGATGGGGAGTAATAGGCACCTCTGAGAGACAAAGCCCTGAATACTGGGCCTGTCCCTATAAAATTGGGATATCTATTCATCTTACATTGAAGTGTTCAATAGGCTGTCACTTGTCATCTTAAATGTAATTCAGTAATTTTCAATTACTTTTACCATTTTATTGGAACGTTTCCATTTTGCCAATGGAATAGATATCTATGAGCCAGAATGTAGCAATGTCTTTAACACACATTGGCTAACCAGGCTCACCAACAGTGGAGGGATAGAGGAGATAATTGACCCAGAGTCTGGCATTTCTAGGGGACCCAGGGCTCTGGCTGTTGCTGCAGTAGCAGCAGTGATGTCCACAGCCCTGGGCCCTTTACATTGCTGATGAAGTGTTGGGCCATGTGCTCCAGCCAGCACAAAGAGCTGGGGTGGGGTGCACCACCTTCTAGGCAGCACTGAGGGCTCGGAGGAAGGGCACACCACAGTAGAAGCAGCACTGAGAGCCAGTTGTCCTCTACCCCACCCCTTCTGCCCTGGGCCTCTCCCCTCCTGGGAGCACAGAGCCGGCCCCCTCCACCTTGCATAGGGGCCCACAGAGGCTGTCAGCTCCACTGTGGCTAGCCATTGCATTGTGTGTTTTATAATAAAATATTATTTCATTCTGAAAAGTATGAGGCAGCATTCTGGTCAATTTATCAATAAAGTGAGACTTATGATTGTTATATTGAAGATGGCAGAGGAGGAAGTGGTTTCTTGTTCTCCACTTACTGTAGGTGGACTAGAAATGTTCTTATGGGAGGAAAAAAGCCTGCTATTTTGAATGTTCCAGACAAATCTAAAATGAAAAGGGTAAATAAATGCATTTAGATTAATTATTGTCCTCAACGGTTTAGGTAAGGGACCAACCTTCTTCCCAATTTCTATTCTCCATCTTTGTGCTAGATAGGTACTGAGTATAGCTATGGCTTATACATCTCAAAGGATCTTCATGTACTGAAAGTGTATGCTAACAGGTATGCTCATCCTTAACTATGGTTGTCAACAGAGTTCCCTCTAAGCTGGATGGCAGCACAGCTTCACAGCTGATTAATCAGCCCCACCCAGTCAGAGGATCAGGGCTCCATGCATGGAGCTGACTGCTGGTCAGAACTGATTAATCACCTGTGAAGCTGTGCTGCCACATCTTAGAGGGAACACTGGTCGCCAGTCCTCCCAGATTGTCCTGGAGTCACCAGGAATTAAAAATTACATCATGTGATGCAATCTCCAGGAATATGTCAAACCAAAATTGGCAACCTTATCCTTGACTGAATGGAGTAACAGTCCCCTACTTTTGAGTGGCAAGTAAATGAGGTGGAGTTTCATGAGGCCACTGTGGTTTTACCTTTCTCTTAGGAAGAATACCA